AAAAATATATTAATTCAAAAACTAGATTTAATTTTGTAGATTGTAGAGGGTTTACAAAGAGTCTACTCAGTACTGATGCTTGAAAGATCTCTTGAAGGCCACCAGCAAACGCGGTGAGTCACTTACCTGAAGATAAACGTAGCAGTCACAGTTTCTTCAATCAGTAGCCATGCAATGCAGGATCTCAAGAGGACAGCATTCTGTCGACAGTGCTCATGAAAATTCAGGCAGTCGTAGCGTGAATTTAATTAATGTTGGACCACCAGATCATTATGTTTAATAGGTGAGATTAAGTAAATAAAGTAATTCTAAGGTAATTGGATAACATTCTTCAAAAAATAATAAGGGGCACGTGTTTTGGTCCCATCGCATCTGCATCCATATTCTCAAAATCCTGGTTAAGCCGCTGAAAAGTTTCATATTGTATAATTATGTATATATATATATATATATATATTAACTGAAATATAAATATATTTGTATATATGTTATTATTTCTTTACTTATATCGTATAATCTTCGAATAGCAAACACCGTCGTGACCGAGAAGTTTGTCTGTTATTTAGAGGTGTTTGCTATTCAGGAGTGTCCTTTAATGAAGGTTTCACTGTATAAGTATATTTCAGTAATAATTTCGAAAGTAAACAAATAATAGTGAAGAAAAGTACTGTCTATACTTTTTTAGGAGCTGATCAAGTTCATATATAATTATTTGTTATGACTTAATTTTAATATAGTGTGAAGCAACAAGAACACTTCTTACAAAGCACTAGAAAATTAAATTTTGTAACCCGAATAACGCAGTGTCGCCATCTGTTAATGAAATTACGATTTAATTTCAATTCTGCTCAGCCTAATATTGTGAAAAAAATCACAGATTTAATTAAACGTTTCTTTTAAGAGTTTCACTGGAAATTTCTATTAATTTAATAAAATAAATATATTAAAATTAAGCTATGATTTTAATAAATTAATTTTGAATATAAATCTGATTTGTTGATAATTGTTAAAAGAAATCTTAGAAAATTATTTAGAACTTGATTAAATGCAGTTATACAAAAAGAAGAATTTAAAAAAAGGTAGAGAATAAATAAAATATTAATGTTTAATTATCAAATCAATTCTCACATATCCATAGATAAAAGAAAGAAAGAAAAAAGACTGAATTAATAATTTATCCCCTTGAAAAAACAGAAAAATTTTCACTTAAATATTGAAAAATAATTTAATTAAACAAAAGTACACAACTGTAAACATTTTCAAATATTTATAAATTATATATTAATATTTCCTGTAAATACAAAACAAAAATTACTTCAACAGCATCAAAATTTTGATTTTTGGCTCATAAAAATATATTAGCTGTATATTATACTTTGAAAAGACTCTCTTGTATGTCTAAGATGCTGTTTAAAATCGGTTGAATTATAAACAGATACAGTCTCTTCAATAAAGATTTTTATCTTCTTTATGGATTTTGCTTTTTTTTTCTTCTTTCATTTTTCCACAGTTATATCTATAACATGATCATCCTCGTCCAGTTCCGAATCAAGTAATTCTATCTGTAACGTAACATTTAAAACAGTAACTTTGACAATATTATTTGCAAAAAGCTGCCATATTTCTTGTTAGCGTTTGAGTTTTCTTTAGAACTGAACATGTAAGCACGAATACACATGCTAATGACGTCACTTTCGGTGTTCAGAAGTAGCAGTATTAGCTCAAAAGTAAACGCATCCTTAAATATGTGCCGGTTTCTCATAGAAAACCTACTGAAGGGCAAAACTCTTCCTTGGCGAAATAATAACAATTGTCTTATTCCACTTATTAATGCAATCCTTATACAGGTGGAATGTATACATCTGACGATTTTTAGAAAATATTTAATTCCACGTGTTTCATTACAAGCAGATTTTATTGCCACTAAAAGATACCCAATGGAAGGGCCATTGTTGTCTTGAAAATAATGTCCACGAGATGGCCATCCTAATTTTCCAACCACTGTTCCATTCCGGTCCGAAGGGAACTATCACCCGGTGAAGAATGTTCTGTGCAACATTACGTATCACACACTGAACCTTCTTTCCGCCATTTCCTAAACAACAACAGTCTTTTTTTGAGGAAATATGTCATGTGTTGAAAGTTCTCTGTATAGCTGTGACGAAGTTGATTTTTATGAACGCTTATATCGTAGCAAGAATCTCCTTTACAGACCTCAATGCACCACGGTCACTGAATTCTACTCTCTTTCTCTGATAAGTTAATACGGAGATTTCACAAAAAGCCAACAGAATTTTCAGAAATATGCAGCTAAATACACTAATGCCGCTAGGGACTAGGGCCTTACGACAAAATGTCTCTACAAAATAAACACCATCAGATGTTTATGTCTCAGTCTGTATAATTTTTTACTTCTAACGTTAACAATGCTTTCATGCTAATGATTTTTTATTATAGCAATAAATTCTCCGAAGATTTGCAAGTCCATTTCTTCGAATTTTTTAAAATTACAAACTTCCAATTTCTTGCCGATTATGGCATTTCCCTTCTAGAAAAATTCTCATGAGAATTCGATAAAATTTATCTGATTTTAAATAAACTTTGGTTATCATTAGTTTCGGACTGGGGCCCTCTTCTTTTATATAACGCATTAAATGTGATCGGCTTTTATATTTTAAGTATTTTAATGGTTTTATACGATCCGATTGACTCCGACTAAAAACACTCAAGAACTTGCGTAATCCTTCAGGTATTTTTACTCCTTTTTTTAAAGATTATATCTGCTAAATATCTTAGTTTTTATTTCCTCACAAAATATGATTAACGTCGAATATATACTTTTTAAATATTATACTCGTTTTAAAAATACTTCTAAAAGCATTCTTTGTAATTTTTAAAATATTTATTTATATACTTACTAGTGATTCTTTTACTATGTTAATGTGTTTTCACCTTTTATATTTTTAGCTCATTAAACTAATTTTTTATTTTAATGTTACGGGTTTACTGTTACGCGGGGGGTGGAAATCTTTAAACTCAATCAGACTTTTCCTAATGTAAGTAAAATAAATATTTTGTTTTACTTAATTATGTGTATTTGTATCAAACAATTTCATAAATTTTCATTACTTAAATTAAAATTGCAAAATTTTTATGGCGATTCGTCCTGATTGAATCAGGCTCCCTCCTTCTCCTGGTAGTCCTAGTAGAACTCACAATGGGTGTGAGAAAAATGTCATAAGAAGGAAAGAAAGCCAAAACAAAAGGAAAAGAAATATTTTCTTTCATTCTAAATAATCGTTATTTATTTAAAATATTTCAGTATTTTTACTAGTTCTTAAACTTAAAAAATGAGTGAATGAAATGGAAACAATTAATGTATTTAGAACAATGTTTTACTACATTATTTTATTCAAAATTTCGTATAAAAAATTATAAAATAATTTGAATTAGCTGTAAGAACATACAGTGATGCATTTAATTGAATATTACCGTTTTATCTATATTTACCAATTTCAAAAAACCGACTGATAACCTGGATGATAACCTGGATACTTAAACAACTACAAGAGAATGTTGTTTATCCTTCCAGTTATTATTTTGTAATTATCTTGAATTCAATAAATTAAATAAACGATCTCGCAATTTTCCTTTATATATAAAAAGATTTTTAAATTTCACAGATTTACCTTTAGAAAATGCATTATTATACATCAATCATATTAATTTGTTTCTTCATGCATAGAAATGATGGTAAGTGTATTTATTGTAATTTAAAATAATTCACGTACGAAATGGCTAATTTTATAAATGTTAAAATATTATATTTTTAGCCATAAAAGAGTGTGGTGTTTCTATAGAACAAATGATACGCATTGTGGGAGGAACTTCGAGTTCTCCGGGAGACTGGCCATGGCAGATAGCAATTCGTGGTTATTTTGGGTACGAACACAGATGTGGTGGGACAATTATCAATGAAAATTGGATTCTTACGGCAGCGCATTGCGTAGAAAAGTACATTTTATTTATATATAATTTGTTATTATTTTTATAAATAATATAATCTTAACGAATTATTATTTAGCGTTCCCATGCCTAAATTTTATGTAATCTGGTTAGGAAAATTTGATGTGAGCAAGCGAGAAGATGGAGCAATTCTTCGTCATATCAGCAAAGTATGAAACTTTGGTGGTATAATTAAATACTTGAATTGTATGTATAATATACTTTAATCTCTTTTCAGTACGTTGTTCATCCTGATTTCAATATAAATACTATGAAAAATGATATTGCTCTATTAAAATTATCTAAACCAATAGATTTTGAAGAAAATCATTCACATATCACCCCAATTTGTTTAGCTGATGAGAACTTTACTGTAGATAATAGATTCTGTGTAGCAACAGGCTGGGGAAGACTCTATTATCGTAAGTAAGCTTTATATGTTTATTGCGTTTCTCACACTATAAAACAATATTACTTGATCTTAGTTTGATTTTTAAAGAGGGAGAAGGATCAAATTTACTTCAAGCCGTATCACTTCCAATTATTGAACAAGAAACCTGTAAGATGTTACATGCCAGGTACCTGAACGTGACACCAGGAATGATTTGTGCTGGTCGTGGAGGAATTGGTGTTTGCAACGTAAGATATTTAATATTTAGACGTCTAGTTCTTGATATTATTTATATTATTTAATTGTTTATAGGGAGACTCGGGTGGTCCTTTACAATGTAAGAAAAATGGAAAATGGTACCAAGTTGGCATCACTTCTTGGAGTGTTGGATGTGCCGAACCTTATATTCCTGGTGTATTTACGCGAGTTAGTCATTATCTGTCCTGGATTAACGCTGTGATAAAAAATTATTGAGTTCTTAGCGAATTATATTAAGTTTTTAACTGTAATTATTTGATAGTATCTCGTGTTGTACAAAATAATTACGTTCAAATGTCGATTTATGTAAAGCAAACTATACCAAAAAAACACTAAATCATGATTTAAAATATTAAAATAGTTTACATAATAAAAATATTATAATAGTAATAATAAATATAAATATAATAATATAATCAGTGTTTATATTTGTCCTAATTTAAATAAAACTTTATTTCACATAAACATAAAGCATCTATATTGTGTTTTTTATGATCATCTAGCATAATGCAATGCTATATAACATAAAAAATAAATTATATTTGTATAATAAATTATCTTTCATATTTAAGAATGGTTAATGCTCAAATTCGAAATTGCTTACTCTGTATTTATGTAATGAAAAACAATTCTTGTAAGTTTATCTATCCAGTATCGGGATTAATATGGAGTGTGACAATGCCGAAGGGCCTTCCTCTAGCATAATGCAATGCTATATAACATAAAAAATAAATTATATCTGTATAATAAATTATCTTTCATATTTAAGAATGGTTAATGCTCAAATTAGAAATTGCTTTCTCTGTATTTATGTAATGTAAAACAATTCTAAGTTTATCTATCCAGTATCGGGATTAATATGGAGATTATTGCGTATTTTCTTATCCTCCTAAGCTTTTATTTTTCTCATGACCATACGAAATTACCCACGAATGAGGAGCTGGGGAAATGCCTTTCGGGAGGTCTTTTAAGGATAGCTGGTTCCTTTTTAAGCGTTACAGACGTGGAAGAAACCCCGAAAACTACATGTGGACAGCCTATCCTGGCGAGGTTCAAACCCACAACCGAACTTCTAGTGTTCAGGGAACAAAACCGCTTAGCCACTGGTAGGCCATTCTCGTAAGTTTTAAAGATGTTTCTAAATTTAGTGTCTTAATAGATTTTTAAAGCGAATATTTTGGAATTTAATTGTAAAGAGACATAATGATATTATTTAAAACTTTATTTGTAGAATTTTACAAATATACTACAGTTTTAATCATTTATAATTAAAATTGTAAATTTTGCATATGGGTTTTAATATTATGCCGTAATTATTTTATTTATTTAACAATGAAATAAATTTATTATTTAAATTTGTGATTAAATTCTTATAAAGATAATGCATTTAAAAAAATTATAATAGCATGTTTAATTTATAATAAACTAGCAGATAAGCCCGGCGTTGCTCGGGCAAAAAGTAACGATAGCGAAGATTAAGATTATTACATTATAGCCAATCTTACCCGTTTTCTCAGAATGCAGGAATTAGTTTGACCTGTTTCCAGACTAATTGGAACATTTTTAGATGGGTCTAAAAATATGTTCGATTTCTCGTAAAAACGCAAAAAACCGCATCTGCGCCTGTAAATCTTGCACGTCGCTTTCTCTTAACACTTCAAATGTTACTTAACCACTTCCATTGTTAACACTTCCCCCGGAGGGAAGTGTTAACTATTTCTCCCTGCGAGGGGAATTTCGAAAAATCCCTTCTTAGTGTACGTTCTCATGACGCACCCTAACTGTGTACCAAATTTCAACTCCTAACCGTTTGGGCTCTGCGCTTCTTATTGTTATTCGAAGTGGCTATTTCAAAGGGCAATTTTGGCAACTAAAAATAATATTGTCGACGATATCAACTTTAACATTCAAAAGAAAATTCAGAACTGGCAAGAGCTTCTTCTCTTTTAAGTTAGGACATTGTATAAAATATAAACCAAATCAACTGTTTAATAACAAATATCCTAAGTACACTTTACAGAGTTTTCACACTTTATTTTTTACTTATATTCAGTCACTGTATCATTTTGACTACCCACACTTCGCTGTTTGTTTTTATTCACTCACTGCACTACTTTGGAATTTTCACTTCTTTTTCTGTTCTTCCCTTCGTCACTAATAAGAAACTGACGTTCGAACCCACGACGGATCTTTCTTTATATATCCTCACCAATGGGTAGTCCCACCCATACAAAAAAGGCTTCGAATGTTCCACAATGATCTGGAATGTTGTGGAATGCTCAAGAACACTCTCGAATGTTCTGGTCTGTGCTAGAAATTTCTAGAGGGCGAAACTTCCAGACCTTATATCTTCAACAGTACGCCCTTCAGGTAAAAACGGAAACCTTCTTCATGGATGGGGGATAGAGGGCTACTACACCATATAACTCCCTTGATCGTACCGGGAAACATTTTTGAGTTTTAGCGGCACGCACATTGTACCCTTACCTTTATAATATATATTGAATTGAATGATTATAGGAAAATGTAATGGATAGAATGCTTCATTTGGATAATCAATATTTAAATCACGTTTGCTATGGGAGATATTCTTTAGTATATCTGCTTATAGAGTAATTAATCAACCGAATTGTGTTTTAAGAATAAACTTTTTCGTATTAAAATTTCATTAATCAAAAGTAATTATGGCATAATTAATCTGGATTAAAGAAGTAGAATCTCCACTATCCAGATAAAAACTAAAGCCCTGATATGCAAATGGAGGATACTTTTCAACAATAAGAGTGGTCAAATCTTAAATGTAAAGGAAGAGACCAAAATTACGTTAGATATTAAAAAACTAGGCTATAAAAGTTCCCTGTAAAGTACAATTTAATCAAAATATGAGAGTAATTAAAATTAATATACTGTTTCTTTTAATTGTCTAGATAAAAAAATATCTAAATAAAGTAGCTCATTGAGCTTGTAAATTTGCAACTTAAAAAAATAAGAAATTATTTTTAATATTATTAGATACTAAAAGTCCTAATTTTTTACACTTCATAACACATTGAGTCACAAAAATTTAGATAAATCGCGGCTTAATTTATAGCAAATAATTTTTATGCTTTCTTCACTTCTAAAGAAAGGCACAAAAATTAATCCTTAAAATTAAGAAGAAATGATTGTATTAGATTTTTTGAAAGAGCAAATATTTTATATAAACATACTTTATTTAAAAATGATAATAAACGAAAACCTAGCCGAATTCATATTGCAGACAGAAATCTCAATCGAAGTTTCTGAGATAAGTCAACTTTAATTGATAGCTAATGAATGCCCCTAAAGAAATAGATGTCATCTGTGTTATTAAATGTCACGTAAGAAGCAATTAGTCTTTCATAGATGAAAAACAGTCGATCTATTTTTGTTAAATATTCTCAGAACAAATATTTATCTTAATTCCATCCGTTTAGCTTAAAAATAAATATAAAAAGATTACACATTTAATTTATTTTGTAATATAATTATTTGTTTATTTAAAGGACTACGCTATCTTGTCATGAATCAAAATAAATTTATCATATAAGTGCTAAGGCACCAAAATATCTGATTGGCTTCAGTTTTGTCCATTATGGAAGAGCCTGATATTCAATATAGATGGCGACTATCACTCCTAGGCATCTGAGATTGAATCCGGTTAAGCAATCCTTGGAATTTTTGGGTCTATCCCGGATATATCGAGGTAATTCCTTACTACTCGGCCTCTCCATTATGGGCCTAGCCGAATCCGTGATGAGCTTGAGCTTCGGTTTCTCGGCTTTTTAGCACAAATTAACTTAAATAAAATGAATTTGTATTTAATATTTTATTTGATAATATAAGAAAAACCTTTTAATTTACACCTAACATAAGAAGTTATATTTTAAGCCCTTCTAAGAGGGCCCTGTGTGAATGCACGGGTCTCACACCACGAAATCGGTTCTGAGCATAAATACATATACAATCGTATACAATATATAAGTAATAACTAAAACTTATTTTTCAATTAAGAGTTTGGCAGAGACAACAATAATAAATTATACTAAATTCGACGACAACAAATTAGTAATACAATAGAAGTATTACTGTACGCTGTTGTGTGCTTCGTCCGATTTGTTTAAGCACTGTTTTTAATATGTATGTATATTTTGGTGTTTTTATTGATATTTTTAAGAATATAACATGATTAATAATCAGGTAAAAGTTAAAAATCTAGGAAAGACTTCTATTTTAAAATAATTTTTTATTTATAAAACAAATGCGAAATTTAAGGTTCAACGTAATTTAGATAATATAATATCAACAATTATACGAAATTAATATGTTGTAACCTATTTCTCTAGCACTTAAAAAAATTTGAATATATAAAATTTAGAAAATACTGTAATTAATTTTGATACGAAAATGGTTCATACGGAAATTGGTCCATAAAAATTATTATTTTCGGAAATTGAAAAACTAGTTTTGATAGAATAAAACTACTGAATTTTTAATTTTCGTTAATTAATAAAGGAATATAATAAACTTTTAATGAATATTTGGAACAGGTTGTTGAACTTTTAATTTATACAATGATAATAATGGCATAGTTTTTGATTTGAATTCGTGTTATAATGTTAAGTACGGAAACTAAACTATGTAAAAGGTTGATATATTGAAATTTACTTCCTTTAAATGGACAACATGTGGATTTAGTTTTCCCTTATAAAAGGAATCATGCGATCCATATTCTCATTCCGAGATGAAAGTGATTTATACAGTAGTCTTGCTGTTCGTTTATGCTGAAGCTAATGATGGTAAGTTCGTTTTTCTTTTTTTTTTTTTTATATTAGAACTTATTTGAAAAATTAAATTGATGAAACTTGCTGCTCTAGAGTGTGGAGTGTCACCAATTCCATATAGCGAGGGAAGAATCGTAGGTGGAAGAGCCTCTCAAAAGGGACAATGGCCATGGCAGGTTTCTTTAAGTTTTCCAAGACCTGGAGGTTATATGACTCATTATTGTGCCGCTACGATTATTAATAGTGACTGGCTTTTGACTGCAGCTCATTGCATGTAAGACTGAAATTTACCTTGAATCTTATTATAAATGCTTCGAAGTAACAGCCTGTTCTCTTCTTAATATACTAATTTTATGATTTAAACTTTTATAGAGTTTTTATGCCTTATAAAAAAGTTTTAATACGTATAAATGAATATAATTTAACGAAAGAAGATAATGAAATAAACAGATCCATTGAAAAGGTAAAACAGATCTATTTTAAATGTAATAATTATAATAATTTTATAAAACATGAGCTTCGTATGTACAATGGGCTTAAAAAAAATGTTAACACTGATATGGAAAAGGTTTACAGTCAAGATAGAGGACAATTTTCCATTACAAATTCGGCATAACATATTACTTCCACATTTTTGAAGCATTGTGCATATAGGAAGTTTACTATTTACTCAGTTAGAACATGTATTGAAAAGAAAACTTTTCAAATTATAATTATCAGAGTAGACATTTTAAAAATTATTTTATCAACTCTCCTCTTATCTATTATCATGCAATGATAATAGGAAATAAAATCAAGCAGTTTAAATACAATAATTTATTGAGAGTATTAAACACAAGATCGTGTTATTAATCAAACACGTGGCTTCTTTTCCATGTTTATTTAATCATTTAAATAAAGATGGAAAATAAGCCATGTGTTTGATTAATAATACGATCTTATGCTTAATACTCTCAAAAAATAGTACAACAGTTTCAAAAAACAAATAAACAATAATTTATACTATTATTTCTGCAAAAAGAACATAAATAAATTATTATTTTTCGAATTACTTAAATAATAACAACCTAAATATATAATTAGTTATAAAAATTTATATTTATCACTTCTCAGCACAGTATACTAATACTCAAATTCAGTTTATATAATCAAAATAACCATTTTTTGCTAAATCAGATACAATTGCATCCTAAATGGAATCATTCTACAGCTGATAACGATATTGCACTGATTAAAATGAACGAATCTCTGCCTGAAAATAGTTCATTGTGGAAGCCAGTCTGCTTCCCTTCTACACAAGATTATAATTTTACTAATTGCATCGCAGTCGGTTGGGGATTATTAAATTACCGTAAGTATTTCTTCAGTCAATTAATTACGAAATTAAAAATAAATATAAAATTTATGAGTGTTTCAAAGGAGGAGAACCTCCGAAAGTATTACAAGAGATAGCGATGCCATTGGTATCACAAGATCTTTGCAAAGACAACTTTAAAGAAATTAACAGAGTAACAGAAAACATGCTTTGTGCCGGATACTTGGAAGGATCTAAAGGAGTTTGTCACGTAAATTACTTTCGTAAACTTACTTGTCCACATTTTTACTATATTTTAAAAATATTATTATAACCTTAGGGAAATTCCGGTGGGCCTTTACAGTGCCAATTAGACGAAGAAAATTGGTTTCAGGTCGGAATTACATCTTGGACTCATGGATGCGCTTGGTAGAAATATCCGGGAGTTTTCGTTCGAGTAACTCAATAAACAAGATTACCGGTCGAAACTGAAAATTTTTATCCCACTACGTTATAAATATTTAACAGTATTATCAAACTTTTATAGTGATTTTTTTAAATCTCTGAAAAATTTATGTTTTATATTCTTAAGTTTAATGTAAATGATTATTTAATAAATTTTATGTAAAATTCAAAAGTAACCGATGGGTTAAAAATATATTAATATTTCTGTATTTAAAAAACCCGTTTGTTCTTTGAGATTAATAAAAAATGTTCTATTTTAATTCAAGATTTTTGCTTCAAACTTCTATAATTTCTTAAATTCTTAAGAAAAAAGTTTAAATCTCTCTCAAGTACGATCTTGAAGTTTTAAGAAATGGCTTTTAAAAAAGCACCTTTTCGCAGGAAACATTTCATTATATAAAATATTTTACATAATTTCTCATAAGATAGTCATCAAAATCTACAACTAGAAGTGATAATTTAAAACAGGGGTGTCAATTTTTTACCCACGGACCGGATATGGCCCGTTAAAGCATCATATCCGGCTCGCGACATTGATGATTTCTTTTCTAAACATCAATGTTTTTAACTTCTATTGGTGATTAAAAACAGAAACAATTCAAACGTCTGACTGTTTACGTAAGTCGTAAAGGCCTGGCAAAAAAAGACCTTTGTAAGAGCCTATTTTTTAATTACAATATATTTTGGTTTAACAAATAATAATGAATACGTGTATTTGACTGACCGCTTACTGCGTTTGAGTTTGAGATTCCTGCTCTAAAAGAAAATAAAGAATAATAAATATCAATTTTCTTCACTTATAATTTTTTTATTTACACATTTAAAATTAAACTAGAAATATTTACTATATTTCAGATATCTTTCTACACAAAATAACAAAGAATTAGAGGAAAGATCAAGTTAATTGTATATTATCTAAAATACAAATATTATGAATAAAATAAATATAAATTGGATTTATTTAATTAGAAATGACTTTTTATATTTTATACAATTATTTTTATCTCGAATTTAATGATTAATTCCAATTAAGTAATTATATTTATGTATTATTTATTTGACTTTCTTCATTATAATAAACATATTTGTGTATATATTTACAATAAATAAATTAACGAAAATGAAAACTGAGACATAATACGTCCTTTAAATCATTTAGTTTTTCTTTCTTTAACATATAAATCAAAAGTTATACCCATGTAGTTTCTGAAATATCATATTTCTTGCCTCACATTAAATATGATATTCATTCTATAATTTTCAAATTAATAACCTAAAAAAAAGAATCGTGTAACTATCAGATTATTTTCTAAAATGATTAATACCAAAATTATCGAATAGCTTCTTCTTTATTAAGTACAAATTATATTTTCATGCGAATTTTTAGAAATTCGTTTTTATTTTTCATTAAAAACTTAAATTAAAACTTATAAATATTTCATTTCCGTAATATTTCTATTTTAATTTTAAATTTATAAATAAAAAATTATAAGTAAATATCGTGAAGAAAATTTGTATTGATCCTTCCTTATTTTCTTTTCATGTTTCATTACTACTTGTGAATTTTGATGATTATTTTATGAAAAATTTTGTAAAATATTTTATGTAACGTGCATTTAAAAGTAATTTCTTAAAACTACAAGATCGTATTTGATAAAGATGTAATTTTTACTAAAAAAATCTTGTGTTTTTATGCAATTAAGTTACGAAATCCGAATTAAAAGATATAGAAATTTGAAGCAAAAATCTAGAATTAAAATAGAACATATTTTTATTAATCTCAAAGAACAAACGGTTTTTTTAAATACAAAATTTTTAACGTATTTTCAATCCATCGGTTACTTTTGAATTATACATAAAATTTATTAAATAATAATTTACGTTAAAGTTAAGAATATAAAGCATATATTTTTAAGAGATTTTAGAAAAATCACTATAAAAGTTTGATAATACTGTTAAATATTTATAACGTAGTGGGATAAAATTTTTCAGTTTCGACCAGTAATCTCGTTTATCCAGTCCAAATATTGAGTTACTCGAACGAAAACTCCCGGATATTTCTTCCAAGCGCATCCCTGAGTCCAAGATGTAATTCCAACCTGAAACCAATTTTCTTCGTCTAATTGGCACTGNATAAATTTAAAATTAAAATAGAAATATTACGGAAATGAAATATTTATAAGTTTTAATTTAAGTTTTTAATGAAAAATAAAAACGAATTTCTAAAAATTCGCATGAAAATATAATTTGTACTTAATAAAGAAGAAGCTATTCGATAATTTTGGTATTAATCATTTTAGAAAATAATCTGATAGTTACACGATTCTTTTTTTTAGGTTATTAATTTGAAAATTATAGAATGAATATCATATTTAATGTGAGGCAAGAAATATGATATTTCAGAAACTACATGGGTATAACTTTTGATTTATATGTTAAAGAAAGAAAAACTAAATGATTTAAAGGACGTATTATGTCTCAGTTTTCATTTTCGTTAATTTATTTATTGTAAATATATACACAAATATGTTTATTATAATGAAGAAAGTCAAATAAATAATACATAAATATAATTACTTAATTGCANCATTTCATGGTATAAAATATTTTACATAATTTCTCATAAGATAGTCATCAAAATCTACAACTAGAAGTGATAATTTAAAACAGGGGTGTCAATTTTTTACCCACGGACCGGATATGGCCCGTTAAAGCATCATATCCGGCTCGCGACATTGATGATTTCTTTTCTAAACATCAATGTTTTTAACTTCTATTGGTGATTAAAAACAGAAACAATTCAAACGTCTGACTGTTTACGTAAGTCGTAAAGGCCTGGCAAAAAAAGACCTTTGTAAGAGCCTATTTTTTAATTACAATATATTTTGGTTTAACAAATAATAATGAATACGTGTATTTGACTGACCGCTTACTGCGTTTGAGTTTGAGATTCCTGCTCTAAAAGAAAATAAAGAATAATAAATATCAATTTTCTTCACTTATAATTTTTTTATTTACACATTTAAAATTAAACTAGAAATATTTACTATATTTCAGATATCTTTCTACACAAAATAACAAAGAATTAGAGGAAAGATCAAGTTAATTGTATATTATCTAAAATACAAATATTATGAATAAAATAAATATAAATTGGATTTATTTAATTAGAAATGACTTTTTATATTTTATACAATTATTTTTATCTCGAATTTAATGATTAATTCCAATTAAGTAATTATATTTATGTATTATTTATTTGACTTTCTTCATTATAATAAACATATTTGTGTATATATTTACAATAAATAAATTAACGAAAATGAAAACTGAGACATAATACGTCCTTTAAATCATTTAGTTTTTCTTTCTTTAACATATAAATCAAAAGTTATACCCATGTAGTTTCTGAAATATCATATTTCTTGCCTCACATTAAATATGATATTCATTCTATAATTTTCAAATTAATAACCTAAAAAAAAGAATCGTGTAACTATCAGATTATTTTCTAAAATGATTAATACCAAAATTATCGAATAGCTTCTTCTTTATTAAGTACAAATTATATTTTCATGCGAATTTTTAGAAATTCGTTTTTATTTTTCATTAAAAACTTAAATTAAAACTTATAAATATTTCATTTCCGTAATATTTCTATTTTAATTTTAAATTTATAAATAAAAAATTATAAGTAAATATCGTGAAGAAAATTTGTATTGATCCTTCCTTATTTTCTTTTCATGTTTCATTACTACTTGTGAATTTTGATGATTATTTTATGAAAAATTTTGTAAAATATTTTATGTAACGTGCATTTAAAAGTAATTTCTTAAAACTACAAGATCGTATTTGATAAAGATGTAATTTTTACTAAAAAAATCTTGTGTTTTTATGCAATTAAGTTACGAAATCCGAATTAAAAGATATAGAAATTTGAAGCAAAAATCTAGAATTAAAATAGAACATATTTTTATTAATCTCAAAGAACAAACGGTTTTTTTAAATACAAAATTTTTAACGTATTTTCAATCCATCGGTTACTTTTGAATTATACATAAAATTTATTAAATAATAATTTACGTTAAAGTTAAGAATATAAAGCATATATTTTTAAGAGATTTTAGAAAAATCACTATAAAAGTTTGATAATACTGTTAAATATTTATAACGTAGTGGGATAAAATTTTTCAGTTTCGACCAGTAATCTCGTTTATCCAGTCCAAATATTGAGTTACTCGAACGAAAACTCCCGGATATTTCTTCCAAGCGCATCCCTGAGTCCAAGATGTAATTCCAACCTGAAACCAATTTTCTTCGTCTAATTGGCACTGTAAAGGCCCACCGGAATCTCCCTACGGTTATAATAATATTTTTAAAATATAGTAAAAATGTGGACAAGTAAGTTTACGAAAGTAATTTACGTGACAAACTCCTTTAGATCCTTCCAAGTATCCGGCACAAAGCATGTTTTCTGTTACTCTGTTAATTTCTTTAAAGTTGTCTTTGCAAAGATCTTGTGATACCAATGGCATCGCTATCTCTTGTAATACTTTCGGAGGTTCTCCTCCTTTGAAACACTCATAAATTTTATATTTATTTTTAATTTCGTAATTAATTGACTGAAGAAATACTTACGGTAATTTAATAATCCCCAACCGACTGTGATGCAACTAGTAAAATTATAATCTTGTGTAGAAGGGAAGCAGACTGGCTTCCACAATGAACTATTTTCAGGCAGAGATTCGTTCATTTTAATCAGTGCAATATCGTTATCAGCTGTAGAATGATTCCATTTAGGATGCAATTGTATCTGATTTAGCAAAAAATGGTTATTTTGATTATATAAACTGAATTTGAGTATTAGTATACTGTACTGAGAAGTGATAAATATAAATTTTTATAACTAATTATATGTTACAATTGACT